TACAACTGGCTCAGTCCTTAAGGGGTTAACCTAGTGTAATGCACCAAAGGCATGAAATAGCAAAATGTAGGGATTTATGAGATAGGAACTGATAGTTTGATGAGCCTAATAAGAGAAGCTGAATTTACATATCAGTTGTCAAGGCCCTGGGGAGATAACGCAGCTAAGTGGACAAGGGCACATGTAGGAGTGTGGGGATAAATGCATGGAATTGGTTGGAAAAATGTGTGGGTGGGATTATGTTATGGGAAAGAATGTGTGGGTGGGATTATTTTCTGTGTAAGTTAGTGTGGGGGAGGTCTTACCTCAGTGCCACTTGGGATTCGGGCCAGCAAACAGCTTCCCTCTCGCCCGCCCTATTAGTATATTTAGTCACAGCTAGCCGGGGGTATGTCCTTGCCAATTGCGACCCAGTATGTACCCACTGTGGCCAGCCTCTTCTCCTAGGGGCCCAGGAGCCGGTCACCTCAGGGCCCCCCGAGGCTGGCCCTGGTGTCACCCGGCTGGCAGGCGCTCGAGGAAGCACTCTCCCTGGCTGAGTGCTTCCTCTTCAGCTCCCTCGCGTGCCGCGTACTGATGCCGGAGCCGGAAGATGACTTCATCTTCCGGCTCCGGCATCAGTACGCGGCACGCGAGGGAGCTGAAGAGGAAGCACTCAGCCAGGGAGAGGTGCTCCCTCGCGCGCAGGACCGGGTGACACCACTAGACCCCAGGGAATCCCCTCAGCACTCCTACAAGTAGGGGGCTGGGGGGATGAAATAAAAAAAAAATTGTGTGGAAGGAAATTGGAGGGGGGGGAGAAGAAGAAATTGAGGGGAAGAAGTAAAGTTGGATGGGGAGAAGAAGGAAATTGAGGAGAAGAATGAAGTTGGAGAGGGGGGGAGAAGAAGGAAATTGGAGGGGAGAAGGAAATGAGAGGTAGGGGGAGAAGAAGGAAATTGGAGGAGGGGGGAGAAGAAGGAAATTGGAGGAGAGGGGAGAAGAATGAAATTGAGAGGGGGAGAGAAGGAAATTGGAGGGGAGAAGAAGGAAATTGAGGGGAGAAGGAAATGAGAGGGAGGGGGAGAAGAAGTAAATTGAGAAGGGGGAGAAGAAGGAAGTTGGAGAGGAGGGGAGAAGAAGGAGAGGGGGGGGGAGAAGAAGAAATTGAGGGGGAAGCTGGGAAATTGAGGAGGGGAGAAGAAGGAAATTGGAGAGGAAGGAGAAGAAGGAAATTGGAGAGGAAGGGGGAGAAGAAGGAAATTGGAGAGGTAGGGGGAGAAGAAGGAAATTGGAGGGGGGAGAAGGTAATTGGAGAGGGGGGAGAAGGAAATTGACTGGGAGGAGGGGGAGAGATTGACATCCATCACACAGACACACAATGCACCCCTTGCACACAGAAAAACACACAATGCATTACATACAGACACACATACACACGCAATGCATCCCTTACACACAGCAACACACAATGCACCCCTTATACACACTCAATGCATCCCATACATACACAAACACACCTTGCAGCCCTTACACATACAAACACAGATTCACACAATGCATTCCTTACACACATGAGGACATCCCCCACACACACACTCCACCACCTGTGAACAAACTCATTGGTGGAACATGAAGGTGGACCCTGGTACCCAGACCTTGAGCTGTGTAAAGGGCCCTCAAAAAAATGGAGCTGCTTCCCGTTCTCCCAGAACATTGATTTTTGTGACCACAGTTACAAACCGCCTCCAGAGAGCCTGTTCTACACCAGACCAGTGGAGCCAGACTGCAGCTAGAGCCCATCATCATCCTCATCTGGTTGTAAGTAGGCAATCTAGTATATTATTCGTGGCACTAATCTCTAATTTACCTCACATTAAAGGGACACTATAGTCCCCAGAACCACTGCAGCTTAATGTAGTGGTTCTGGTGTCTATAGCCTGTCCCTGCAGGCCTTTTAATGTAAACACGGCGGCACTGCAGCACTGGCGTTAGTTAACATGGCAGATCATATGGGTGGGGCATTGTGATGTCACATGGGGGGGCGGCAAACTTTACTTTTGCCTAGGGCGGCAAAAATCCTTGCACTGGCCCTGCAGACACTGCATCCCTGTGGGCGGATTCGGGGGGGGGGGGCAGCACTTTGGGCGGACTCGGGTGCAGGCACCGGGGGGCCCAGACCTTGAGCTGTGTCAGGGCCCCCAAAATTTCTGATGGCAGCCCTGGGGTTACGTTTAAGTACATGGAATGAGATGAACAAGTTTTTAAGGTCTCAACCTCCCCTGCTTCAAACGGTTAACATTAGGTTGCCTGAGGTGTCGTGCCCATTGAGCGTGGGTAAGGTCGGCTGATGGCGGGCATTGGAAAGATATGATTTTTATGACGAGGGGGGAGGTGAGAGGAAGTGGTGATTAGGAACCACTGTATGTTTATTGGCAAGGACGGTTGGGTCACTGTATAACACTATGTGTGGAGTTATATATGTGTATATGTTAATTTATGCTTATTTATGTCTAACCTTTTCGGTTACAGAAAAAGAAGAGATTTAATAAATAAAGTTATGGATGTGTTATGCAGTAATTTAGTTTGTGATAATGCTGTGGCCTGTTTCATCCATACTAAGTTGTTTGTCGTTATTGGGGGGTTCAATGGGGCTAGATAATGTACTATGCTGCATCGCGATTCCCCACTATGTACATCCTGGCAGCTTATATATTATATGTATAACATTTAGCAAACTGACACTTATCCGTGTGGACTTCTCCCTTCTGTGTTATTACAACAACAACAAATCAGGAAACACAGCCACCAAGCGCAGTACACTCTGAGTACTATGCAGTAACTGGGCAACAATAAATAAAAAAAAAAAACAATTCTAATACATAATATGTGGCGCATGGAATAAATGGGAAAATAATCTGAACATTTACATTGTGGCTGCTTTGGGTCTATTTTAATGCATGGGCCTGGAGCCACTACCCTAATAGACCTGTGTTAATCTGTCCATGAAACCTGTCAAAATCATTACCTTTCACGTGGCCTACTATGGGAGATTTCTGGTACTGCAGCTTGTGGGGATATACTAAGCATTTCATCTTTATGATTTTCAGCAACCAATTGTTTGGGTTTCTTTAGAAGTAATTTGGAAGCATGCCATACATGTGGCAAAATATGTAAAAAAAAAAATCAAAAACAATAATTTCATGTAAGGTATAAAAATGCATTAACATGATAAAACAAATGTAGAAAATTTGACTACAAGAAGAAACTATACCAATAAGAAGCAAAAAATAAAAATGTAGACAAATAAATAAATGCATTTACATGATTACGTGTTATTGTAGATTTTGCTTAATGATACATTCATGAAGTTTTGCAATTATTGTTTTCATTATATATTTGTCACCAGCATATTCCACATTGTTTACAAATCCAAGTTAATGCAATATACTCTGTTTAATTATGAGACCACTGTTTCTTTTTCTTTACATACGTTGTTCGTGTGTCTATAGCTTTAAAAAACAACAACAACAATAGTGTGTTGGAGACTTACACAAACCTAGTGTGCAGTTAATTTTGAAAAAAATAGTTAATTAATATAGTCAGGCATAATACAAGATCTATTTGTATGTATGAAACATAGATCTGGTTTCATGTCTATTTGCATGCCAAGAGTTATTAAAGTCACAAGTTCGTTAAATGCCATAGCTCATGGTGTGGCATTTACACCCCGTTTCTTAGTGATGTATGACTTCTATATTTGCGGTTGACCAAAGTTCTGAAACCTTCGAATTTAGACCGGAATTCAAGAAGATCCTGTATCCTGATGTGGTAAGAAAACCGTGTAATTCAATTAATGTGCAGGGAGGGCAATGGGTGGTTTCAAGCTGCTATTGATGGCTTGAAGGCCTTTGCCAAGTCAATTTGACAGAGGAGGAAAGAGATGCTTCTTCTTACTCTAACCCACCGGAAGGTATGGTCTGAAATTAACGGAACTGTAATAAAAATGATCTGGCCTAGCACATGCACACACACACACAAATACATTTCATGTTTAAACTGTCAGGAAGAATGCCTGCATTACAGCTCAAGTAAAACCAACCTGGACGAAAAGGGCTGCTACAAGAGGCTGCCAGATCAGACTGATGGAATTAGAAAAAACACTTGCTTCCATTTTGAGTCATTTAGAATTTGGAGCAGAATTTGCTGCAATGCAGATAAACCACTTTGAATTCACTGGGCCTTCTACAAAGCCAACAGTCTCTAGAAAATAAACTCTTATTACTATGTGCGAATGTTCTGCAGCACAGAGAAAGCTAATTGTAATTTGACAGAGATATTTAGTAAAACTACGAATTGTTGGGAATTCAAAGTGAATTTTCATACATTTTATGCCTCCAAATATCTCTGCTTTACAATACGCAAGACAGAAGAAATGCATTTCTATTAAAGAATCTAAAGTGGCAGGAAGTTAGCCTCCGCCACGTTTGCCTGTACTTGGAATACAATTATTATGGAAGAATAACTTATATCGTAGTATATATTAATACATGTTGCATAGCAGAATGTTACTGGCCATTGCCTATTAATGTAAAACTTTTTGTTTTTTGGGTTTATTTACACAGTCAATTCCCTTCCGTCCAGTGTGAGCTGCGGTGTTCCCTGAGTATTCAACAGACAGCAGTCGGACTGTCTAACTATATGGAACACTGACAGCAGCCTGGTATGTACTGCTTGTAAATAACCTATCAACCAATAATTTAATATATTTTCTTAAAAGTCTTTTCTTCAACATTTTAACTGTTTATGGATAGAAATATTTCTAATTTATTTTTCTTTTCAATTTTAAAAATGAGCAAGATGACCGTGCACTATAAAATATATTCTAATAATTTCAATATCCATTTGAGCACATTTAAATACTTGTTTTTGCAGGGTTGCGGTTTTAACCTGTTATTCACACATTGCAGACCACGATTTAGAAACGACAATTTAAGTAACTTTTTTTTACCTACAAAATACCATAATAAAACCATTATTTTTAAAAAGAGTTATTTGCGCATAAACCACTACAAATGATCAGAAATACTTGATATGTACTGCGTTTGGAGAAAAAAAGAAAAAACAGCTGAAGCATAGGAACGGAGAAGCCTTTCGTGTCACTTTATAAGGTACACAATCTTTCTAACAAGATTTGGTCACACGTTTATCCAGTTGTTTAGTATTGAGCTGCACAAGTGGATTGTGGGTAAAAACCTACACACATGGTCACCATTTTTTATTTTAATGCTTGTTCATTTTGCATTTTTTCAGGCAGCGCTAGAAAGTGCAGACACTGTATGTGGAAGTAATGTGCTACCAGTATTAATTTAATTGATTAGTTAGAATAGTGCATTTGTTTGGAATATAGTTACTTGTTTTCAGACTGAGAGCATGTTAATTCCATACACTTGCATTGCAGCACATTCAGACAGAAAGGAGATTTCATAAACATCCTTCAATAATGGCATTCTTCACTGCATGTACAGAGATAGTATATTACTTACAACTACTGTATATTTATTATATCACATCCATTCATTATTTGTGCTCAACGTTAGACTAGCCACATGGTGGAGCTTTTGTATGCCAGAACTACGATGCATTTAATTCATAAATCGAGGGACATCTAGTGGCTGCTCAACTGTAACATATTTTCTGAGGAATTCCGAAATTACAAACAATTGCACTGTTGTGCATCGGTTCCAATTAAAAGAAATTTAGGGACAACTAATGGCAGCTAAATCTGCAATATTTGACAAGAAAAGTTCAGGAATTAAAGGGGATTTTTCTATTGTTTATCGGTTCCATTAGTGACCTTATTCATTTGAAAATCTACGATTCAAAACTCCCAAAACTACTCCTCATGAAATAAGAATGTACTTCTATCTAACTTACATAAACCTGTATTCTTTTGTATGTCTAGGTTAATTTAAAAGATTTTCTGTAAACATTTTAATAGAGACAACAGATAAGGTCTGTAAGCACTATAACCATTTCATCTCATTAAATCTTTTATAGTACCTTGAGTCCCCTGGCACTGCCCCTCCATTCAGTGTTAAACCATTTGTGAAAAGTCTAACACTGAATAAAGGTCTGTAGCTTCGAACATCCCTGAGGAAGTCCCGACATTAGGGAGAAAGGTGTTGCATGATTGGACTTTTTTTTCTTTATTTATTAATTTTACTCTGTTTTTGCTTCTATATCTGCCGGCCCTTGTCTGGTTTTCATTCCTGAGATCTGTGTCCTGCTGGAATACTACCATTGGTGGTGATATGCCTATACTTTTTCTATGCTTTTAAGTGCAATACAATAAATATTTATATGTTTTGATTTTACTTCACTATTGTGGTCATTTTCTCTCTTTGTTCTATACTCAAGAGTCTTACTTGCAGAAGATCTTTATTCAAGTACCCTTGAAGGGGTGACGAGCCTGAAACTCGTTTGTTTGTGAGTTTTCTACCTTACATTCACCAGGGTGTGTTTTTTTTTTTTACTGTATTACACTATGATATTTTTATAATTTCTTTTAGATGTCATCAGGGCCGGCGCTTCCATTAGGCGAATAAGGCATTTGCCGACCTGCAGGGGACGCCCACCGGGAATTTTCAATGTGAGCTGCCCTGCTGCTGTCTGGGGCTGGTGTGCTGGGTGAGCGGCTCCGTAGCCACCCCCCAGTGCAGCTATTCAGCTGCTGGGCACCTATCTGCTACTTGCCTGCTCAGGGACCAGGTTTACTGTAACCCTGGCACCCGAGCAGAGCACACTGCTTCCAGAAGGCAGGGGAAGCCGGACCTGCTGCCCTCTGCCTGTGAACACCAGAAGCCCTCTGAAGGGCACTGTTCTCCTGCTCCCCCAGCAGAAAGAAGAACAACTTCCTGCAGCCTGGATCCCTTCTCCTCTCCACAGCACTCAGGTATGGTCCATCTGGAGACTGTTATTGTGTGCCTGGTTGTAAATTGGTGTGTGTGTGTGTGTTAAATTGCTGTGTTTGTGTGTGTGTAACTAAAGTGTTACTTTATGTAAAGTGGTGTGACGCTGTGTGTGTTAGTGAGAGTGTGCAAGTGACATTTTGTGTGTGTGTTAGTGAGAGTGTGCACGTGACATTTTGTGTGTGTGTGGGTGAGTGTGCAAGTGACATTGTCTGTGTGTTGGTGAGTGTGCAAGTTACATTGTGTATGTCAGTGAGAGAGTGTGTCTAGTAGTGAGTGTGCAAGTGACACTGTGTGTGTAAGTGAGTGTGTGTGTTAGTGAGAGTGTGTAAGTGACACTGTGTATGCCAGTGAGAGTGGGTGTGTTTGCATTTGTTAGTGAGAATGTGTAAGTTTGACAGTAAGAGTGTGTGTGTGTAAGTGACACTGTGAGTGTGTGCGTGACCATGTAAATAAATCCTTATGTATTAAATTATATTTATAATATGCTAATATAATTATATATTAAACAATAAAAAAGTTTCCCTTAAAGTTCACTGTAACATACATTAATTACCGCAATTATTGTAAATTAAATCCCTCCAAATGCATTGATGTATGTTTTAGTCAGTATGATTGTATGGATATATAAATATATATATCATAGCAGTATGAGTGTGTTGATATATGTATTTGGCTATGTGTGTGTGGTTGATTGTATGTAATAGGCAGTATGTATGGATGTATAAGGCATTCCCTAAATCTACCAGACAGACACTACAGGGACTTCCGACCTGTTAGGCGACTTTTGGTTGCCTAACTGACCCTGGACGTCCTCACGATATGCATTGGGGACATGCGGTGTAATCCAGAGCCCCATAGGAAAGCATTGCATAATGCTTTCCTACTGGGAAATCCTTATTCAAGTGCGGCCATTGCCGTGCATGTGCATTAGGTCTCCCACGCAGGGTGACTTCAGCACCACAGGGGAAGGGGGTCCTTGACAGTGTGGGAAGTTACAGTGCCAGGACAACAAGTTTGTCTCTTAAATATCTACCCAGTATATCTCTTTCTCTAAATGTCTCTTCACTGTAATTCATAGTGTAGTGAATAAACCTCTGAGGGAATGTAGTTATATTCATGAGGGTGCAGCAAAATGGATTGTTGCCTAGGGCGGCAAAAACGTCCTTGCACCTGCCCTCAATGTCATCATACTTTAAGTGGAATTCTCAGAAGTAATTCTTCCATGTTGTTAATATTCTTTATTTTCTTTATAAGTGTTTTGTGTTTCCCACCTTGTTTATTTTTATATATTTCTGTTGTGTGTTTTTGTGAGTTACATCTCACAAAAGAGGGGTACCACTTTTCACGTATTATTTATTCAAAACTTAAGTTTTGTATAGCACCGTAACCTCCAACAGCCTGGTTCCCACTGGAGATGTGGCTACGGCATGGAATACATGCTTTCTTTGTCATATCAGTTTAAACCAGCTATGAGCGTTATGATAGACTGAAAGAGATCATCTGACCGCTCAGGAAATTACTGCCGAATATTGATGGTATTCATTAGCCCAAGCGACATACAGGGGATAACCCCTGCTGATGCCCATATAACATTAAGACACAAAAAAAGTTGTAACATTAAATAGAAAGATGGTGCCAGATAGTTTAACCATTTAAATGAGATCAAGCAGTTACAGTACCAACATTGTCCCTTTAATGAAAACAGGTTGATTTAGTGAAAACCCTATTAGTCTCAGTTTACTTCATATTGCCCATATTCATATGTGTTATTGATCTTTTATCAACTGTGTAGTGTGCATTTTTAGTTAATTTATTTTACAAAAAAAGTAACTGACACTGTGTATTGATGCAGAATCCATATTCCATTAGCGTGTTAGTAATAGGCTTCCTTACCTGAGGAAGTAAATAATACTTTTTATAAATATAGGGCACTCTTAAGGTAGGTCAGGTGTAGATATTAAATAGCTGAGATGTAAAGCAAATGTCCTATCTGTCAAAATGTAATAAGACATTCATACCTGAAGACTATTTTATCTGTTATTTCTGTTTGACTGCTCTCACTAGGCCCGAGCTATGTAAACCTAGGATCATAAGGCTAGTCCCAAGAACCTTGCCAGATGAGACCACATTTACCTTAGATAATAGAAAGTTCAACATTACAGGTGGGTGAGATAAGAATGCTATTCTAACATAGAAGCTACAACCACTAGAGGGCAGTCACACAATGTAGGAACTGTATTGAGAGCTGTATGCACTATTAACTTGGGGGTGGGGGGGGGGGTGGTTTAACAAACCACAGCCTATATTATAATCTGGCATCAGTAGCTGACCAATAATATTCACTGTTTTTAGGTCGGTATCGTGTTAGATTTAGCAAAACTATCACAATCCAGAGTTCACAAACTTTTCTTTCTTATACTGGTAATGCTGCTTAAATAAAAAACACCATTATCATCTCAATAGTAAGCTGCAGAGCTTCCAAATTACTGCACACGTATGACACTGAAAGCTGGTGCACCAGCAGCCAGTGTCATCATCAAGGTAGAGCAGAAATAAAGGCTTTGCTGGCCAGTGAATAGCCCTCCTGCTTTCTCAAAATTGGACACTAGGCAAAACATCCTGGAACCTCTCCACTCCCTCCTTCCTCTTGGAGCAGGTAAGCAGGAATGAGAGAGAGGGGTATTCACATTGTATTTTTGTTATTTTCCCCTGGCTGTGACTCACACAGACTCCATGAAACATAAAATTTCATTTTTAGATCTGTTAGATAATCATCTAAACACCTACATCCCAGAACATTCTTGAAACAAAATACAAATATTACAGTTTTCTTCTTTTTGTTATAATAATATTTGGGTTAATTCACTTTTGGAACATTGTTCAAAATTAATCTTTGTCATTACCATTCAATAGTGTTCTGCTTTTGGAATAGATAAAATCCTAAAGTAACTAGCTGCAACTATTGGTCCATTCATTAGCATAGCATTGCACAAATTTCTGAGATTCAAAGGGAAAATTGTCTGCAATAAGTTATTAGTACAATAAAAAATGTTTGAGACTGTGAAAGAAAAAAAAAAACACCTTTCCTGATGCTGAAACATGGCTTTTGTATGTTGTCTGTTCCTCCTATGTTGTGGTAAATGGTATATATTACTGGAAGAAATGACTATGCACTGTGAGTGCACGCAACATTCTGCAGTCTGTACTGTACTTGTGATCATTAAACATGAATCACGACCTTATAGTGTAATTGAAGGTCATAATCTCATAGAATTTGCTGGAGATCAGACTTT